CAATTTCTAACTTCAAATTCTAATTTTAAAAGAACATCAAATCTTCAAAATTTCCCATTTCCATAAATTTTACTAATCCTTTGAGAAAAACTATTTATCCCCAAATATACCCAAAAATCACCAAAAAGTTTACAAAACAGCCCAAAACGTAGCTATCTGAAATGGGCAGAGAGATTTTTCACTGCTTGAAACGTGAACGATATATTTGCATTCAAACCATAATACCCAGCAAAAATATGGCCTTCATGTTAACCCCCGCCTTAACTGAAGGCTCTGTTTTCTCCTAAGTCTGGACATAGACTATACGGAACCACGTACCTTGACTACTTTTTCGGGTTGCGTGGTTGAAAGACACTGGGAACTAGTTTGCTCATATGGGCACTCCGCGAAAAGTACAGCGGGCTCAGACTGGTTTGGGATGACGATTACATATGATTTCTCAGCTGGTGGAGGGTAGAAAAGGTGGCCACGAAACATGACAAGAAAACTGTCTAAAGAGGAGATCAAAGACAAATTTGATGGAGAAGAGCTAGACTTGAGTCTGTGCAATTTAGCTAAAGTGCCTGTGCGAGAAATGGTGAGTGTTTTTTTCGCGTCCGATCAAAGATTATTTTGCTTATGGGCCGCGCACGAGTTTTCCTCTCTTCTAAGACCCCCAGCCAATATTTATTGCCTTATTATCCGAGCAGAATAGCTATGAAGGTTTTGGTAAATTGCTTCTTTTATCTGTTGAGCAAATGGCGATCGGACGGTCGGAGATCATTAGTAGTGGCTGGTAGTAGTCGACAGCATAAGGACTTCAGTTACTTTGCAGGTGAAGGAGCGCTGGGACGTGTGTGTGAGGAGGAGGTGACAAACTATCAAACGTTTCATAGTTGATAACTCTATGAAAAGCACATTAAGGCATATTTGTGAAATAGAAAGAGCCGATAGTCCGCTTCGTTAAGGTATTCGTAATTATAGCCCGAGAAAAACATTAATTCAATTTTGTTGGACACGGAGCTTTATGAACTTTCAATCAAAGCGGTTGCGCAGCGAATTTGCTTGTTTTACAGTACAAATTTTAATATAGCTTATATTTTTTAATTTATTAGTTTTTGTGTATAATGTATAGCTGAAACAAATTGCTAATTGTTTGCTGATATATTGTATGCTCTCTCTGCAGGCCTCTTTGCCTAAGGCAACGGTGGTCGATCTATCTTGTAACAATTTAACTACTCTACCGGTGAGAATTTGTAATTTTTTTTTTCTTAACACAATAAGCAAACCTGAAAACACCTTTGCTAATCGCGATCAGGTTAGATGCCGTTCACTCTAGTGATCGAGGAGTAAAATATTCCAGAAGAAAATTAAAACCATTTGGAAATAGGTTATGGCGCGCACGAAGCCATTTATTCTTGAACTCTATCGAGTTTCGAAAACTAGTCGAGCTTTTATTCACTGCCTTGTTTACATTTCGTTGTTCCATATCCTGCACCCTCGAATGCTGATTAAAAGGTCCAGCTGTATCTTTGAAAGCTCATACCGGAATTGTCTGCATTGTGACAAGAACCAAGGATTGGATGTCTGAGTTGGTATTGTCGTTTACATAAGTATTCAATTTCCAGTGTCTCATGTCGTTTACAATTATTGAATATTGCATATATCAAAATCTACCATTTTTCTTTCCAGTCTTGCTGTTTTCATTTCATGAGGGGAAATGTTTTATGGAAGCAATGAAAAAATAAATAAATAAATAATAATAATAAGTAAATAAACAAAAAAAATATAATTACAATACAAAATAAGAAAAAACCAAAATAATAATTATTGGTAACAAAGTAATAAAAGGTGACATGTATGACATATGAAGCTTTGGTAAATTAATTCTTTCAAATAAGTTGAATTAGACTGCACAACATTTTTGACAAAAGATTAAAAAAAAAACTGTTGGCAGTACATCTATACATATATTTTTTAATAACAGAAATGCTTGTTTAAACCAGTTTTTTTTTTTTAATATATGTGGAAACAGAAGTGTGTTTTGCTTAAATTTTTACAAAATACAAAAACAGCTGGTTTAAGTGTTGCAGAGTGATGTCTGGTTTGGTATCACAACATGTTTAAGAAATTATTTTTTATTTAATACATGTATTATACTGTAGCTATTAAATATTGTTTGCTGTTGTTGGCCCAGTCTTGACCCTCGCACCAATTTGAAGGGACATACTGTGCATATTATACCAAGAGGGTGATAAGGGATAAGAGACTTAATCCCTCCCCCTCTTAAATTATTTTTAGATATGCTATCCAGTCCCCTGCAGATAAAAGGGATAATTCGACTGTGCTTGATGTGTAGATGTTTTTGTTGTGGATGAAAATGCATGTAAGGCACTTTGGCTGTCCACGTGAGTAAAATTTGCATCACTGGCTATTGTACAGCCTCCTGTGATTTCTGAAGCCGGAAGTGATCTAAAAATCGCCTGAGAGGGATTACCTTTAGTTAGGCATATTAAAGGTTAATCGAACAGTGTATGTTGATCTCAGTACCGGTCTGTTATGAGCTCTGTTTGGCTACAAATGAGAACCCCAGGCTAATATTAATAAACACTCGTCTGTAAACTTATAGGGCTTTTCTCTTATAGGACGCATTTTGCACTCTGCACCATTTAGTACGATTGGATTTGAGCAAGAATGCTCTTGTAGAACTTCCAAAGGACTTTGGTAACCTCAGTCAACTCAAGCGGCTAGATTTGTATAGCAATCAGCTGAGCTCTCTACCACTTAGTTGTGTAAGTCTTAAGCAACTTAGATGGCTGGACTTGAAGAATAACCCTTTACAGACTCTATGGCCAGATGTTATTGGACATTGTTTAAGTGAAGAAGACTGTAGACAATGTGCCATAAATGTGAGTACATTTAGTATGTATTTATGGCCCATACATGTACTAATAACTCTTTGACTTAATTTTGCACATAAATATTTAAATATATTATAAATATTCAAAATTTATCCTCGCAGCAAGAATCTAAAATAGTTTTGCTTGAGTCAAAGACAAACAATTTTCACCATACACAAAAGATTTTCAAACCTTTTGGTTGGGAATTTCCCTTTGAACCAAGCCACCATGTGCTCAACTCAAGGAACTGAAAAAATACAGTTATTTATCTATAGTAGTTAGTTGCAAACCTACCATTTGAAGGATTGAGGAATATAAAGGTAACAAGGGAACATACATTTGCAATGGAAAACTGCAACTTTTGTTGATGGTGTACATCATACATGTAGCGATATCAATGGTCGAACAAATTATACAAATTTATATTAGGAGGGGATTTATCCATCTGACACAATTTATCCCTCTTAGACAGATAAATTATCTACTTATAAATCTGGACCGTTGAATAAGCTAAAGACGAATTTTACCTCATAATGTGTCTAAACTCTGGATTTATACTTAAAGACAATTGATCCATCCCTGGCATACAAATTATCATTTCAGATGGCTAATTCATCTCAGACGCATAACTCATGCCTAGTACAAATTCTGCAAATTATGTGTATTAAAAATAATTAAAATACATTATTTTCTGTCTGGCAGTTACAACCTGTGCCTGTATCCAGAATGGGTATCCTGGGCTATTTCTGCACATGTCACTTCGTACTTTACATGTCCACGTTGTGTTTGCGTGACGTTATGTTCATGTAAGCCTCACATGTAAAGGGAATTTAAGGTTGTACATGTACATATATGTATGTTGCGCCACAGGTATTTAGCTTAAAGTGCTCCTAACCATTAAATTTTTGCCACGTTTATGTCCAGAATACTTCTTCAAAATTTATTTTTAATTTGGTTAAATCCTTGATTTTGGGTGAATTATTTATAAGGACTTAGTCAAGATTTTCATTCAAGCCTGAACAAAAAGAGATCTGGGGCGATCTACAGCTATGACACCAATTCCAGTGAAAAAATTTTGCAAACTGTTTTAATTAGTGAACCACGCTCTCTCTGTACATTAAATGTAGATGAATCAGAAGAAGAATTTAGTAAATCACTAGTCCTGTAATTTCTTGCTATTGCTGTGTCACTCAAACTTGGAACCAAAATGGTTCTTTACTTTTAGGGGGGAGATTTTCTACATGCAAAAATATCACTGAAAATCAAGGATTTAACCAAATTGAAAAATTTCTTCTAGAAATACTCTGGACAAAGCAAAATATATTTAACACAGAAAATATCTTAGGGGTTATGGTACACTTTCAAGTACTACATTTTATGGCTTCCATGGCAGACCCATTGGAACAGAACAGAACTTCTAGTTTATCTGCAAATACTAAATTTCTTTTTCCGTCACCCATTAGGTGCTGAGATATCTAAAAGTCTTAGCTGAGAATGAGGAACAAGAGAACCAAGTGAAATTATTGTTAGAAAGAGGTGAGCTGTAGTGTGTTTCTTTTTAATTGCATGATATTCACGATCTTACTATGCAAGTTGGTCACAAACATATTTAGAACAAAAAGATGTACATTGTAGCATTCGGTCAAGTGGCAATATTTAGTCATGTGATAATCAAAGAAGATGGATTAGTTCTGATTGTTAATTAATATTTATTTTTTATAATGTAGTCAAACATAATAGTTAGTTGTTGTACTTGTTGTTTTTTATTTACAATGTTTATTTTCCTTGAAGATATTTATTTAGCTTCTTAGCTAGACTGCCAATTCGAGAAAAAATTAAGTTGTGTATACAGTCATGTACATGTAATTGTTATAAATTGTACGATGTACCACTGATAATAATCATTAAGCTGAAAAAACAAAACAAACAAAAAAAAGAAACATTTCTGTTCTGCTACTTAGCAAAATCTTTAATGTACTGTAGGCAGGGCTCAAAGTTAACGACCAACTGGTCGCATACATGTATGCAACTAGATTTTTGGCTGTGCACCTAAAAAATCATGTGTGGTTGCACCACCATGCCTTAAAAGCCAAAGTACAGTGCAACTTCTCTAGTGCTTACTCACCTGACCATACTAACGTACTCTGATTGATAAATATAAATATAAACATTGATATAACACAACCAGGCACCAAATAATAAAGTTGCACCATTTTCCTTTCATCGGTGTGTGTTCTCTTCATCATCTGTAAGCCTAATTTCCCAGTGGATTCTCCGAACTCGAATGTTTATTTCTTCCCCATGTTCTGTGTTGTAAACAACTCTGCTGACACATGCAAATGAAGGAATGAAGCAGGTGCTTCTTGTGCAATCAACGATCATGTCAAAGTTTTAGTTTGAGGGTCAAGGGAGTCTGTGTCAAGAGTACGTCCAAAAAAAACCCAATCGGGATTAAGGGTCTTTTTTTCTTCAAGGTAAGAAAATCAGTAAATTAACAAATTATTAGTTAATATATCACAGTTAAGTCATTCTGCATTCAACAAATTCATAAAACATTAATTTTGTTCTCTTGTGACATGCTCATTTGCATAACAATAATTTCTTATAAACAGCTCGCTTTTGCCTTCAAATACAAATACACACACAGAGAGTACATCCCCAAACAATCCTACATGTACTTCATCAGTCAGTGAGAACGAGGATGAGCCCATGACTAAGAAAAGAAAGACGTATAAATTTCAGAGATCGTGGTTGCAGGAATTTGAGTGGCTAGAGTGGGATTCGGAAAAAGAATTGATGTGCTGCAAATACTGTAAAGCTCTTATCTTTAGTTAATGGATGCGACAACTTTAAATGTGAAACACTTACCAAGCATTTGCAGAGTAAGAGCCACATCTATTGCAGGGACTGTTATTTTACCCATGGCAGTAAATCAAAAGCAGTAATGCAGCAAAAAGCACGGGCCGGTCCACAAATTTTATTGCTTGAAAGCTAGCCAGATGAGCAAAGTTTGTGCTAGTTCTCATGCATACCCAGATGTTGAAAAAATCAAAAATCTTCATGAACAGAATTCCAAAGTTGAGGCAAACAACAAGCAATTGGATAGTGAAGATACTCAATGAAGCGACTTCAGTAGTAATATCTAAGCTTGACTCTTGGGTGAAATATCCTGATTCTTTTATATGTTTTCATTGTGTTCAATACTGCTAGAATAGGCCCATATTGCAACACGAAGCCTGAGTTGCTCTTTTTGGAGCGTTAAGTATTCTTTTGGAGTAGGTGCTCCAAGTGTTTAAAGCTGTGCACCTAAAATTTCGGCAGTGCACCTAAAAATTTACACTTGGTGGCACAAGTGCTTCCAAAGCCAAAAATAAACTTTGAGCCCTGGTAGGTTCTTTTTTTTTGCAATTATACTCATGTTCAAGATTGTTTTTTTTTTTTTAACTACAGTGTAATCCATTTTTTTCTATACTGCTAGCAGTCTCTCTTATGCTCTCAAATATTTGGGGAGGTATGCAAAAACTGAGTGAATGACAATATTTGAGTGGTAAGCTGTGAGTAGTGCAAGCATCTTGCTTGGGCCACAAATATCAAGACATGTTTGTTTGTTCAGTCTTTGTGTTCTCCCCTAGACAGATTTTAGGGAAAAACAGAAACTGCTTGCAGTCTATCATTTTTCCAAAGCAAATTTTAACTCAACATTTGCAAAACAGATTTCAAAACCTTATTTTCCAACTTTTTTGTTTCTTGGGCATGCGCAAGATGGTTAACAAAATGGGATTCCACTGTATCAGCATTACTCTTCAATGTCATCTGTGTTCTATTAATTATGTAGCATTTCAGTGGTTTTGCAAATGAGTTCATCCACTGAGTTAATCTACTTCATCCTCCTGCACATCTTAGAGCAAAAGGCACTAGAAGAAGAAAAAGAGCAACTTCAAAGGCAACTGAAAAAGAGGCAAAGACAGCAAGAAAAACAACTGAAAAGAGAAGCTTATGAAGCACTGGAAAGACAAAAAAAGATGATGGCTGAAGAGACAGACAAAGCCTTAAAAGGTTAGTATGATACATGTACATCAGGCAAAATTGTAGACTAGGTTGAAGGCATTCAAATTAATACACATGTACAGTGTTCTTCAAATTACAGCTCTATTTCACTTTGTCTTCCATTTAGCCCAAGAAGAATTTATGGAAACGAGGCCTGTAAAACAGGAAGTTGTAACACCAGCTGGTAGGTGGCTTTTGAACACTTACAAACGTGGTCATGATACTTGTTATATAATTATAATTTGTAGCTTGGACACTTAACAGTTGAGTTCTCTGCAGTGCACAGCCCCGAGTTTTTAAAACATGAATCACTCGCTGTGTGACAATAATCACCTGGTACTGGCAACTTGATTGGCCTTCTGGATTTGCACAGTGTCACACCTTCCTCCATGTTCAACTAAATGTATTCATGTACACTTGCCAGAGTCACCTTGGAGGAGAGGGGGATGCCAGTTGTGTCCCCTCCTCCTATGATCTCAATGATCAAACTTAAGTTGATTACTTTTGTGATAATTCACATGTCAATCGTGGTATCATATTATGCCAATATGATGTCAAGCAGTTCAAAATGTTGGCCATCTTGGATCCACCATCTTGGACTTCAGTTTTTTTAAAGGAAATTCAAAACAGCTCAAAAATGTGAAGGTGAATTAATCAACGTGACACGAGCGTGGGACAAAGAAAAATTCTGAGTCCCCGACAGGAATCAAACCCATGACCTCCGGAACACCAGGCAGGCGCTTTATCCACTGAGCTACGAGAACTCATGGAGAGCAAGGTCATTTAACTAGTTCATATACATGTATGACAGGTGTCCTGCATTCTTCCAGGATCAATGCTATCAAAGTCATCGTGAGTAGTGATAAGTTAATAAAGATGGTGAATTTTTAAGCTCGGTAATAAAATGTGAAGGTGAATTAATCAACATGACACGAGCGTGGGACAAAGAAAAATTCTGAGTCCCTGTCAGGAATCGAACCCATGACCTCCCGAACACCGGGCGGGCACTCCATCCACTGAGCTACGAGAACTCGCGGAGAGCAAGGCCATTTAATTCACCTTCACATTTCATTACCGAGCTTAAAACTTCACCATCTTTATTAACTTATCACAGCTCAAAAATTATTCAAAAAATCTGACCAAACAGACTCACAAGTAGTCACAGGTAGCCGCAAGATGAACTTGTGTAGAGACTTGCATTGGGTGGCCAAAGGAACTGGCAAGTTTCCTTGCAGGTACATGCAAGTCACAAGAAAAACATTTCAAGACCTACAGTCTTTTGTTGTATCCTGTATTTTATTGGCTAATAGGTTGCTATAACAACAAATGGACATTACCCAACTTGTGTTGACTTGGGTTGGAAGGCCAAATGGTGAAAAACTTGCATTGACTTGAGTGCAGCTTTGATTTTGACCAAAGTGAGCGTAAGTCATTGCAAGTCAATGCAGGTGCACACAAGGCCTGGCAAAATGGAGTCTCGAGTAGACCCAATTAACTTGTCATAAAATCCAAATTTGTACTAAAACAGAAATTTGACCTTTGAAAGCATGGTTGCCATGGAAACATCAAGTCACACAGCCAAAGAATTAATGAACTGAAAAGTACCCTGATAAATATTAGGAAAAGCCACAAAGTTTTATTACTTGTAACTTACAATTAGTTCATTGCTTGTAAGTTACAATACTTTGTTTCCTCCCCNCCCCCCCGCCTAGTAAACAGTGTTAAGGAAACGAGAAATTAGACTTGTATGTTAAGTTAAAATGTGATTAAGTTAAGTTAATTTACATTTTCTTCTGTGTAGATATGTGTACATACATATGTACAGTCTTTGTGAGTTGTTGTATGGCATGTCTGATGGGCTGACAGTGCCAGGTTTATATGAAAAATGTTACTAATATATAAATTTGAGAGATGAGGTAAATTGACATATTTTATTTTTATTAGTATCATTGCTATTTTTTCTTTTTGCAGAGGAAGATGGAGGTCTCATGGGACTGTTATTGATATTTACATTGCTCACACTTGGTATTGCTATGGCCATTGTCATCTTTTGCCACCATGATGCCACTTGCCATGAACTTTTATCTTCATTATCATCTTGACGATGAATAATGATTAGAATATTTTGAAGTGAATTTAATGGTCAGAATTGTTAAGTCAAAGACCTGCTCTCTACTAGAGGTTATTTGTCTTTTAAAGCAGAAGTGAGTGGCAAAGCCACAAAAATGTGTTGCTCCGGAGAATATTCATATCCCTGCCCTGCCCTGCCCCCCCCACACACACACACACAGAAAACACCTGCTTTGCTCCATATGTGTACTTTCATAACAATTTGGGTGCACTGAGACCCCCTAACCCCTGGGAATTTCCAATGATCTTCCATGGGGATGGATGTTTTCTGGAACTGCACAATGAATTCCAAATGGGAAAGAGGAGACTGTGGTCTCTTCTGTGGCCATTTGCTACAACTTAGATCAATTTTGAGACAGGACTAGAGAGACTACAAAGTACTTCTGGGACCAGGATATAAGTCAAAATATCACAGACATTATTCTTATTATGGTGATAGTTCTTATTTTTAACCATTCACTCTAAGGTCATTGGTTCCAAAAACTTCAAACTTAGATTTATTTCTCAGTGCGTACGAATTTGATTCTAATAAAGGAACACAAGTCTAATATTAAATAGTTTTGTCTGCCCTTACCTTGCGTGAACTGTTGCTTACCCCGCACAGAAAGTGAAATTCTGATTTCAAAAATTGAGAATGACAAAATTACTGAAAAATTCCGTTAATAAACCCTCCCAGAAAATAAGCTTCCCCCTGAAAGTGTTGTATATATGGGTTATTGACCAAGTGTGAGGTCAAGATGGCTGGATATTGGCCAAGTTCTTTTTTTGTGAGTTTATGGACCTCGACTCCGTCTTGGTCCATAAACTCGCACAAAAAGAACGAGGCCAATATCCAGCCATCTTGACCGAACAAGCTTGGTCAGTAAACATACATACATAAAGGATTTATTATATGGCTTTTGGGGAAATTTTTCTTGCGGGAAACGGCGGGTAGTCCCGAGCGGGCAAGATAGCTTCATCTTGCCCGCTCGGGTAGCCAATCACAGTGTAGGATTTGATTCATCTTGCCCGCTCACGGAGCTAGCCATATAATAATGACATATCCTTCCAATAAGGAATGGAACGTGTTGATTAATAACCCTACGGGCCTGGCTTAAGCTTATAGATGATTACTAGGCTTACCTTTCAATGTGAATCATAAGTGCCTTGTTTTGTTTTTAACCCATTGACGCCTGTGCCGGCCGTAAAGCGTGGGCCTTTGTTCCACTTCTTGCATCATCACCTTTGACCAAAATTGGCTTCAATTGTACTCAAGTTCTGCAGGTGGAAAAGATCTTTCGAAAGGTCAGAATGATTGGGTCAATATGCACGAAAATGATTAAAATTTAGAGTGAAAAAACTCGGAGCAAAATTTCCCTCGACTACACTAGCTACTACTCCGTGGTATAAAGAATTCCCACTCTCGATGATGCTTTCTCACGAATTCTTGAACTGGAAGCAGGATAAGAAAAGGAGAAAAAGGAAAGGCAATA